GAACATATTGTTAACACTAGAGGGTTGTTCAACCCCCTCTGAATCAAGATCCTTCATGATTGAATCTTTAAAGGGTCTTGCCAATGTTCATCATATTCGATCTACCGTAGAGGATTCGTTTCCTTATGAAGCAAAAACCAGAAAGACATGTTCTTTTCCTTGCTTCTGTTAATTCAATGTCTGAGCATTTAATCAACAGTATCTGGCCCCTAATAATTGAATTATTTTTATCAGCTTTCACTATCAATCAAGGCATTGGTACAATTCCCATAATAGGTCTTAATGTCAGCAGAACAAAGATCATGTTTGAGGAGCCCCTACAGCAGAAATGTGAGTGGTATTAAAGGTATTATGTGAATGATTGGGGTTAAATAGAGTGGAAAAGGATTTGGTTCAGTGTGTGGACGTAGAAACAGAGAGTTTTAAAGAAGAGATGAGATAATGGCGCCAAAAGAAATAGTAGCAATTGTTCAATGTGGGTGGGGACTATTCTCATCCACAGACACAGAATTGGCAATACCTGATTTTTTTTTTTTCCCTTTTCATCAATTTTCTTATTGCTTTTAAAATTAAAATTCATTTCATTTAAGAGATGTATGACTCTCCATGTGAGTTATCGTGGCATTCACCAATTTGACCCAGTCAGATTTGGCCTTCCACGTCTGCACAAAACCATCCAATATAGGATTCAAAACCCATCTTAAAATACGTACTGACAATTTAGTGCCTGCAACCAATTAATTAGAGGACAATATTCCCTCCTCACAACGTAGGGATGAGGTTTGCATACACATTATATACGGCGAAATCGGAGGGTCCGTTTTCTTGTCATTAAGGTACTTCAGAAAGGTCACTTCGAAGGCTCAAGGCCACAGCTGAATATCCTCCCTTGAGGGTCGTCGACACCCGACCCCAGGATGATGCAAACCGCGACTATGATGAAGAGGGGGAGTTCCCAATGCGCACGGCTAATACTGACAGGGCCTAGCCGGTCTACTCTGGACCCGAATCAGGGTATCACGTCTAGTTGTCCCATCTCACATCTTTACAATTAATGCATTTTGTACTATGTAGGGACTCCCCTCCTATATAAAGGGGACCCTTGTCATTTTGTAAAGTAGAGTTGCTCCAATTACTCCACACGAAATATAGAAGAACATTCTCTTTTCTCTCTAACATATTCTCTTGATATTATTGCTCTCGTTTATTACATTCATACTTGTTCTCCATTTATTGTTTATCATTGGCCATAAAAAGCCTTCGTTGATTATCTTACAACTGTTAGCCCTTCCCCGGTTGCCCTTAATAGCTCGAGCCCGAGCCCTGAAATCGACCTCGAGACCCCGTATCGGTCTGCCCGAGGCCCAGATTGGCTAGCTCATCGGTTTGATTAAAGCTCTATCTTTAGCTCGCATTCCGTCTCTAAATTCCACACACATAGCATCATTCGCTTGAACAACTAGCATAAAAATAAATCACGTATTTTTAGAGTCCCATCAACAAATTTAATTGTTATTACCATTTTCGCGGTAAACAGTTTAGCGCCCACCGTGGGGCCAAAGATAATAGTAATTATTTTCTTGTTGGTTTCATCACATAACGCAAGTTATCTTTCACACTTTTTCTTGTCCAAGATCTTCGGTTGCAGGTTAAAATGTCTAATTCAGTAAACAACAATATTGAAAACCACAGAGAAAATGGTGTGGTCGTTCGGGGTGTTGGTGAGCCGCCGCAAAATCTTGAGAACGCGCCAGGACCGATTCCGGCGGACGGAATCTCATGCGACGCTCGACACGTCGAAATAAGCTCCCACACTAACAGGGGCATACACCAAGGCGACCAATAGGATGCCCAAAAAACCCCTGCTCGAGAAGAACGGGAAGTTAGCCTTCATGTTATTTTTGAAATGTTGCAGGTACAACAGCTGGCTATTGCTCAGCTGCAAAGTCACCAGAAAACTTCTAGCACGGTAGCACCGGGGACAGCTCCCCCGGCCGAACAGGTACCGGAGAGGTCAAGCAATAATGGGTCGATAGCCTATCCCGCCATCGTATAGATGCTCGAAGACCTCACCAGAAGGATCGAGTCGGGCGAAAAAATGATAGAATCCAACGATAAGAAGGTCGAGACTTACAACTCAAGGGTCGACCAAATTCCAGGAGCGCCCCCGATACTGAAGGGTGTGGACTCGAAGAAATTCGTGCAGAAGCCGTTCCCACAGGAAGCGGCCCCGAAACCCATTCTGAAGAAGTTTAGAATGCCGGAGCTTCCGAAATACAACGGTACCTCGGACCCCAATGAACACGTTACCGCGTACACCTGTGCAGTAAATGGAAACGACATAAAGGACGACGAGATCGAGTCCGTCCTGTTGAAAAAATTTGGAGAAACACTTTCTAAAGGGGCGATGATGTAGTATCATAACTTGGCCCCGAACTCTATAGTCTCGTTTGCCATGTCGGCAGATTCCTTCATAAAGGCGCATGCCGGGGCCATCAAGGTGGCCACCAGGAAATCCGACATCTTCAAAATCAAGCAGAGGGGGAATGAAATGCTACGGGAATTTGTGTCCCGCTTTCAAATGGAAAGAATGGAACTACCCCCGGTCTCCGACGACTGGGCGGTACAAGCCTTTACTCAAGGTCTGAATGAGCGAAGCTCGGTAGCTTCGAAGCAGCTGAAAGAGAACCTGGTCGAATATCCCGCCGTGACTTGGTCGGACGTTCATAACCGATACCAGTCAAAAATCAGGGTCGAGGACGATTAGCTGGGAGCCCCCACGGGCTCGGTATACCTAAGCAGGCTCTTGGCAAAGGAGCCAAAGCCAAACAAAGAAAGATATCAGTCATCCCGAAGATCGAATGAACGCCCCAAGGCGTAACCCACCTCGAAACGATCGAAGGATAGACCGAGGACAGAATCCTCGGGGACTCATCGGCCAAGCCGGATTCGACATGAACAAAGGATCAACAGAGGCACCTCGCCTGTCAGAATACAACTTCAACGTCGATATATCAGATATTATCTTCGCCATCAGCAAAATCAAAGATGTCAAGTGGCCCTGGCCTATGCAATCAGATCCTTCGCAAAGGAACCATAACCTGGTGTGCGAATTCCACAACACACATGGCCACAGGACCGAGGATTGCCACCAGCTCCGAGAGGAAGTAGCCAGACTACTCAACAATGGTCATCTCCGAAAATTCCTAAGTGATCGGGCCAAAAACCAGTTCCGAGAAAGAGAGGCGGCTAAGAAGAACGAAACGAGCGGACTGTTAGCTTCAAGGTTTCACGTATTAATTTTGATGATAACAAACCAATACAATTACTTATCAAAGAAGATGCTGGTAAAGATCCAAACAAATATGGAAAAAGAGATATCATGTGAAGAATTTATTAAGGAAGATTATTTTCAAAGATTTGAACTCCAAGCGCCATAAATGAAATAATATTTGAAGGTGAAATTTCAAATATGGAATGGCTTACTACAATATCAGAAGAAGAATCAACAAAAATTATGGATGGGAAGTTTTTCAACATCTTGAAAGGAAAGTTGCTAAAATCGTGGAGAAGATCTATTATCGTGTGGAAGGAAGATACTATATAGAAGAGATACTACAAGACAAAGGAAGAATATATTTTTATGGAAAAAAATATATTATGGGTGTAGTATATTCTATATTATCGAAAGAGATTATTTTTCAAGATCAAAAAAGGAGTCAAAGATTTGTTGAGATCTATCAGAAAGGAAATATTTTATTAAGAAAGATATTTTTACCAAGTCAAGTACTACAAGGAATTGGCCAAATCTTGAATTTAAGGAATGTTGCACAAAGAAACTTATTTACTACGGATGAGATGGAAAGTATTGTTCTTATGGAAAGAAGCATGAGTTACTGGAATCAATCAAGAATTAATACAATCATGGAAAAGTAAATCATGGGGATTTTGATTAAATCATCCTGACTATTCTCAAGTAGATATTCATAAAGATTATATATTGCAGAGAATTATTAATCATGGATCTATTCAAGGAAAGAATTGATATTGGCATCATGATTGGAAATTCAAATTGTCCAATTCAAAAGGAAAGTTTGCATTAATAGAAGATCTCCAAATCTACCTTATAGATTGTGATCATGTTCAAAAGGTCAAGAAGCAGTAAAGGAAAGTTGGAGCAGCAGCAAAGGAAATCCTTTTCCAAAATTAGAAGACCGCTGCAACGGCTAGAATATTCAACGACCAAGTATAAAAGAGAAGATACTTACAACAGCAAAATCACGCAGCCTTCTGTACAATTGTCTATCCAACTACAAGTTCTTTATTCTACTCTTAACAAGCATTGTAATTCACTTTAGTAGATTTACTTTGTATCCAAAAGAGAGAAGAGAGACAAAAAAATATTGGAGAGGCAGTGTGTCCTAGAGGTTGTGTCATTGTTCGTTTCTTTGGTGAGCGAGTGAAAAACCAAAGGGTAGTTGTTGGTGAGCGAGTGAAAACCAACCCTGTCAGCATTGGTGGTGATCGCTGAAAATCACAAAGGTTGTACTCAATTCAATTTACAAAGAGCTCTAAAAGATAACACTCTTGAAACCCAAGAGGACTGGATTAGGATACCACATTGGTTCCGAACTAGTATAAAATTCCTGGTGTCATTTACTTTATCGCTCTCGTATTATATTCTGTTCCTTTACTGTTTATTGTGATTAATACTTGTTTAAATTGAAAGAACTAACAGTTCTGTGCAGGCTATCTTCGCATAAGTCGACTAGGTCTGAAGAATAGTCGACTAGAAATTTAAAAAGGCTACAATTCACCCCTCCCCCCTTGTACTTTCAATTGGTATCAGAGCAGGTCTCGCATTTTTACTTTTGCTTAACAGCAAGTGAGAAAAGATCATATCAGCACACACAGTTATCGGAGCCTTACTCCAAGAGGGGACTTCTGCATTAAGACCACCATACTTTAACGGAAAGTATTACACTCACTGGAAAGTTCTAATGGAAGCTTTCATCAAATCTTATGATGTCAAAGCATGGCGAGTCATCAAGAAGGGTGACTTTCCTCTCCTACATTCCAAATCAAAAAAGAAACCAGAAGGACAGGTATCTACTGAAACCCTTGACATTGATGATTATACTGATGAGCATATAGCGATCGTGCAGATAAATTCAAAGGCAAAAAATCTATTATACAATGCTATAAGCGGAGAAGAATTTGAGAAAATATCAAGTTGTGACACAGCCAAAGAAATGTGGGATAAACTTGAAGTTACTTATGAAGGTACCAGTAAAGTAAAAGAGACAAGGATAAACCGCCTGATTCGTGATTATGAGTTGTTTCAAATGAAGGAAGATAAATCCATTAAAGACATGTTTGGCCGATTTAGCAAAATAGCCGGAGATCTAAAATCCTTTTGAAGACCATATTCAAGTGGTGAACAAGTCAGAAAGATTCTAAGAAGTTTACCCACCTTATGGCAACCAAACGTTGTTGCTCTTGAATACGGAGATCTCGACAAACTATCATATGATGGACTTCGTGGAGACCTTACAACCTTTGAGCAAACCCATCTCAAAAAGCATGAACATGAAGAGAAGAAAAAGAGCGTTGTTTCTAAATCAACTATTGCTGAGTTTGAAAGTAAAGCCGAAGAAGAAGGAGACAAACATCAAGATGATATTGCATTATTTTCTAGAGTTGTCTCTAACACGACGCGAAGAAGCAAGAAAAATGGAAGAGTCAATTCAAGTTCTAGAAAAGGTAATGAAATAAGTAAGCAGAAAAACAATGACAGAAAGTGCTACAAATGCAGAAATTATGGTCACATCCAAGCCAACTGTCCAGAACTAAAAAGGAAACTATCCAAGGGCAATCGAAAGAGAAAATCTTCCAGCGTATGGAGTGATGAATATATGCCAGATAAAAAGCATAACGGAGTTGCCAACCTTTGTTTCATGGCACAAAGTGAGACAAGTGAGAAAAGAAAATCTTTTTGTATCTGGAGTGATGATGATATATCAGACAACGATCATGAGGAATCTACAAGCAACTGCATCATGGCCCCAAGTGAAACAAGTGAGGTAAGATTTCAAGATTGTGATAAATGTAATGAACTTCAAAGTATCGTAGAACAGGCTTTAGAAGATATGAGAAAAATTCTTGATGAGCTCATGAAGACTAAACGTGAGAAGAAAAACTTGGAGACCCAACTTGAAGAATATAACAATTTGAAAAAGGAAAAGGAAGAGTGGGATATTCTACTCGAAGAATATCAGGTTGAAAATGACTTACTTCAAGAAGAAAATGTGGAACTTCACAAACAAATGAATAGTTTGCACATATCTTCCCGTCACCAGTTTGATCGACCGAACAAGCGGGCTCATTTTCTTAATAACTCCAAGTTGACTAATAAGGGATCTACTAGTAGACGCCCTACTTCAAACAAGTCGACTCAGGAAAGCTTCAAGTCAACTAAGGCACCTGCTGGTAAATACTCTACTTCTTTTGTTACATGTCACTACTGTAGTAATTTTGGACATAAGGCATTTGCATGTAATTATGCCAAAAGTCATGATAGATCAAAATTTGTTTGGACACCTAAACAGTTACATATATCTCCAATTATACAAGCTACTAACCATGAAGGACCCAAAAAGGTTTGGGTACCAAAAACAAACTAATTTATTTTGCAGGAATTCTTAGTCCAGCCATAAAAAGGATTAAAGATGTTTGCGTATTGGCTGGTCGAGGAACATGCTTCAAAGTTCTTACATATTCACAGAGGATGAATGAAATATGACGTATGATCTAAAAGAGTGACTGGTATCGCTAAGGTCTATTCAAGTTCTTCTCGGTGCATTAGGTGATATACGTTTAGCTATTGGTTTAGTAAAGTATAACCTAGTATATGCATATTAGTCATCTATATGCACTTCGAGTCCACTAGCTATATCACATTGTTATTCTATTTGGTATTATTTTTTATCCATGACTTAGAGACTTTAAATAGCTTGAGTACATGTCTTGCATGAACCATGTCATTTGCATAAGATATTAGGACAAGAAAGCATGCGATTATATTGATATCGTACGAACTTGACTCATGCCTATATGCGTCTTAGATTATCCTTGAAGTAAATTATTTGTGTAATAGTACTTTCTTGGTAAGAATACTAATGCTTCACTCAAGACCAAGAAAGTTATTTAACTTTGAGGCCACTTTTACACATGAACATTTTGGGAAATACTGAAAATCTTGAAGACAAAAGGTATGTATCTCTATTATTCGCTTTAATTGGGTTATGTTCTGGATCTATATTAGAGGACACCTTATGTGAGATATATAAGGAAAAAAAATCAAGTGTAGATTATTTCTATCTTTTTTGTTGCAAATACTTACCAAAAGCTTGGAAGGTAAATATATATGTCTTTATTCATGATTATCCTTACTTTCGCATATGTCATATTTTTTTAATAAGAAAATAACGCATTTGTTGTGATCATCGATGCGAGTTTTAGTAGTATTTGTCTGACATTTTCTTGCAACAAGCATGATCTTTCACATCTTAGTTTGGTGCCTCAGATGAAAGCAAACTTGAAAAGAAAACATCATTTTTGCATAAATTGTCATCATTGGCTTAATATGCTTTAATATTTTTCGTTGGATCTTATCTTGAATGAAATTCTGTTTAGCTATGGGAAGGGAGAAAAATCAATTTTTGGTTATCTTATTTCCTTTGGTTGCAACTGTTTTGGATGGAGAACTTGCAGTTGATAGCTTGCGATAAATTGCTAGTGACATATTTATACTAGTTGAACTAGACAGTCATGAAAAAGCATTAAACGATGAATGCTGGATTCTATTAATGTAAAATTTGTTGAGCAAAGTTGAAAGAATTAATAGTATAGAAATTCAGTACCAAGTAAAGGAGCTGCAATCATGAATATCTAAAGCCTGATAAGTTGGTAAGGTTGTGAATAACATGGGTAAACTTATAGCTCAAGGCTTCACAATAAGAAGTGCAAAGCATGAAAGGAAGTTCGCTCATAAAGCCAAGCATTCAAGAAATCTATTCTAGAGGCTTGCTTTAGAACTTCATAGTACTGATAACCCTGTGAGCCATCTACTTCTCTAACCAAAGAGAAATGTACCACAGGTAAGGTAACATGGAAGCATGTTTTGAGGATATTGAGACACTTTCTCATTTCAGGAAAGAAATTGGTATCATTCTCATGTATTCTTTTGTAGTAAAAATAATTCATTATCATCTTACCTCTTTTGTGATTATCATTTATGTGTTTCAAAGCATAGGTTGAAGTTTGACTAAGATTCTGATCATCTACAAATATTTCCAGCCTACTACTTTATTTTACTATACCTACTATTTGAAAAGTTTTACTCAAATGGTTGTTAAAACTTTTCCTTATTAATATGGTCTAGTGACTCAAAATATGCTCTACCATTATTTATCCCTTAATCATTTGAAATTATCTTTTGGTCCACCTAAAGTGCATGTCTAATTTATTATGTTTTATATATGCTCTCAAGTGATTACTAATGCCTTGCATCTCAAACTTGTCAATTTGATTTAAAGGTATTTAATTTCTCTGATTACTTATATAAATATTAGATGCATATGGATAATAGTTCTCAGTTGCGTACTAGTTTTGATAATTGAAATGATCATGTAGTCTCATGCTATTTGATGGTCTTATGGAAAATATTAAGATTTGATTAGTTGTTATTTTGTTCTCTTGCTTAAAAAGTATACCCTTTTCATGATGACAAAAGGGGGAGAAAATAATATGTACAAAAGTTCGAATAAGGTAGAATGTATGGAGACAGGGGGAGCATAACTGAGGAATGCATAGAGTGAGGGGGAGTTCACACTTCATGTACTACACGTATTTCGAGAGGAAGACTTCAGGGAAGTAAACAGTCTATAATTAAGTCATTGATTAAATTTTCTTCTTTTGTACTCAATGGTTTGCCATCATCAAAAAGGGGGGGATTGTTAGCTTCAGGTTTCACGTATTAATTTTGATGATAACAAACCAATAAAATTAATAATCAAAGAACATTTACTTGTGGTAATCTTATTTTTTGTATACGTTTATTCAAGAAAGAAGATGTTGGTAAAGATCCAAACAAATATGGGAAAAGAGATATCATGCGAAGAATTTATCAAGGAAGATTATTTTCAAAGATTTGATCTCCAAGCGCCATAAAAGGAATAATATTTGAAAGTGAAATTTCAAATATGGAATGGCTTACTACAATATCAGAAGAAGAATCTACGAAAATTATGGATGGGAAGTTTTTAGACATCTTGAAAGAAAGTTGCTAAAATCGTGAAGAAGATCTATTATCGTGTCGAAGGAAGATACTATATGAAAGAGATACTACAGGACAAAGGAAGAATATATTTTTATGGAAAGAAAATATATTATGGGTGTAGTATATTCTATATTATGGAAAGAGATATTTTTCAAGATCAAAAAAGGAGTCAAAGATTTGTTGAGATCTATCAAAAAGGAAATATTTTATTAAGAAAGATATTTTTACCAGGTCAAGTACTACAAGGAATTGGCCAAATCTTGAATTTAAGGAATATTGCACAAAGAAGCTTATTTACTACGGATGAGATGGAAAGTACTGTTCTTATGGAAAGAAGCATGAGTTACTGGAATCAATCAAGAATTAATACAATCATGGAAAAGTAAATCATAGGGATTTTGATTGATTATCATGACTATTCTCAAGTAGATATTCATAAAGATTATATATAGCAGAGAATTATTAATCATGGATCTATTCAAGGAAAGAATTGATATTGGCATCATGATTGAAAATTCAAATTGTCCAATTCAAAAGGAAAGTTTGCATTAACAGAAGATCTCCAAATCTACCTTATAGATTGCGGTCATGTTCAAAAGGGCAAGAAGCAGTAAAGAAAAGTTGGAGCAGCAGCAAAGGAAATCCTTTTCCAAAATTAGAAGACCGCTGCAACGGCTAGAATATTCAACGACCAAGTATAAAAGATAAGATACTTATAACAGCAAAATCACGCAGCCTTCTATACAATTATCTATCTAACTACAAGTTCTTTATTCTACTCTTAACAAGAATTGTTATTCACTTTAGTAGATTTACTGTGTATCCAAAAGAGAGAAGAGAGACAGAAAAATATTGGAGAGGCAGTGTGTCCTAGAGGTTGTGTCATTGTTCGTTTCTTTGGTGAGCGAGTGAAAAACCAAAGGGTTGTTGTTGGTGAATGATAACTACGGATTTTGACATGTTTCATGCTCTTTCTTGCTTACGCTTTGATTATAAATTCTTACAAAATAGACCCAAAAGGCTAATAAGTTGTGCTTGATTGCAGGTTTGATCAACAAAGTGACGACATGTCAAATATCGGCTCAACAAGGAGTGAAACCTGCACAAGTATCAAAGACAAAAGGAACTCAGGACAAACTAGCCTAGTGCGACCGCAGTCCATTCTGTGCGGTCCGCACTAGGGAGATTCAGAGAACTGGCAAATCAAGCGTTAAAGCAGTGCGACCGCAGTGGAGATTGTGCGGTCCGCACTGAATACTCCACGGCCGCACTACCATTCTATGCGGTCCGCGGAAGCCAACTTCAGAGAGATGTCTAGAGCCTATCATCAAGCCTATACGGTCCGCGGTCGACTCTGTGCGGACCGCGTTAGCTGCCTCCGCGGCCGCGGTCCATTCTGCGCGGTCCGCGGAGGCTGAGTTCAGAGAGCCAAGATTTCAAATCCAAGAGCCTAGTGCGGCCGCAGTCCATTTTGTGCGGCCCGCACTGACCCCGCCGGGGTATTTTTGTCCAGTTTTTCCAGCTTAGTATAAATAGAACCTTTTTCTATTTTTAGGGTATCAGATATTTTAGCACTGCAGCTGCACTCGTGAGAAGACCTTTCTTAGCTAATTTTGGCATGTTTACGTAGTTTTTATCATTGAAACTTTGTATTTACTTTAGTAATTAATTAATATGTTTTTCTCTTCATCTATTTCTTTGATTTTAACTTCAAGCAAGAGTAGCTAAACCCATTATCTAGGGTTGTGGCTCAACCCTAGTGTGGGTAATTGATGGGTGTTGTGATTTAAGGTTAGATTGATTATGGGTGTTTGTTATTTGGGTCAATTTTATGGTTTAATTTATGAATTAGTGGTTGCAAACACTAGTTTGTGCTAAGTTGACTTGGCTCTTCTTGAGAAAGAGAGCCTAAGTCTCCAAAATTGACCCAACAAGGAATTGGGATGGACTCAAGAGATTTAATAGTCCCAATTATAGGGTTAAATCTCGAGAGAGTAATTACCCGACTTGAACCCTAGTTGCTCGGGCATATATGCATACCCAATTGGTCTCGAGAGAGTCAATTGGGCAAAACGACTCTTTCTACCGAGAGGTGTAGAGTTGGTAGTATTGAGTAACGGTTATAACATATTTCCCCAATCATGTCAATCGAGCCTTAGGTGCAATTACCCGTCAATTAGCCACCTAGGTGGAGGTCACTACCCTAGTGCCCTTTAAACTATTAGATATATCATGTAGCAATTTATCTCTTAGCTTAATCTAGTTGCATTTTCAATTAGTAGTTTGATAAAAATAGAATTATAAAGAAAATCCAAAAATGAATAGAAGACCAATTAAGAGCACACACGCAATCCTCAACTAGATAGATACTCGACTCCAATCCTAGCTCTCTGTGTATTCGATCCCAACCCAAAATCGGGTAAAAGCTATTGCGACCCTCTCTTGCTACCTTTTATTGGTGCGGAGTAGGTAGCGATCAGTGAGCGAGTAAAAACCAACCCTGTCAGCATTGGTGGTGATCGCTGAAAATCACAAAGATTGTACTCAATTCAATTCACAAAGAGCTCTAAAAGATAACACTCTTGCAACCCAAGAGGACTGGATTAGGATACCACATTGGTTCCGAACCAGTACAAAATTCCTGGTGTCATTTACTTTATCGCTCTTGTATTATATTTTGTTCCTTTATTGTTTATTGTGATTAATACTTGTTTAAATCGAAAGAACTAACAGTTCTGTGCAGGCTGTCTCCGCATAAGTCGACTAGGTCTAAAGAGTAGTCGACTACAAATTTAAAAAGACTACAATTCACCCCTCTCTTGTACTTTCACGGACCGCAACATGTCATTCACATGATGTTGGGAGGCGTTGATGCCCCGCAAGAACCCGTAATGAGAAAGACAAAAATATCCATCACTGGAGAAATCACGTTCAGCGAGGAAGACACTGAGACCTTGTCTCAGCCTCACAACAACGCACTGGTAATCTCTTTCCTTGTAAATACGTTTCAAATAAAACGTGTGCTCGTGGACCCAGGTAGCTCGGCAAGCATTATGAGGTCGAGGGTAATAGAGCAGCTCGGACTGCTAGACCAAATCGTACCCGCCACTCGAGTCCTCAACGGATTCAACATGGCGAGTGAAACGACGAAAAGGGAAATCACCCTCCTAGTTAGCGTGGCCGGTACGACCCAAAATGTCAAATTTCATGTCATCGAAGGAGACATGAGGTACAACGCCTTGTTCGGACGACCGTGGATACACTGCATGAGAGCAGTACCATCCACCCTCCACCAAATGATGAAATTCCCAACAAAGGACGGGACCAAAACCGTCTACGGGGAACAACATGCGGCAAGGGAAATGTTTGCGGTGCACAATGTGGCACCGACACCATTACCTCCACTCATGAAAGAGCTAAAGGGTAATCAAAATACATCTTCAGTTAGAC